AAAAATGCATTTAATACACCTAGCCTACCACTACTTTGCAATACAGTACACTATAGAACACGGTGGTAGTTCACCACCGTGATTGTGTGGCTGAGTGGGAATTGTAGCTCTTTCCCACTACGCCGCAGCATGAGAAAGCATTGTGCCACATATCACTAGCCTAGAAGAAGATAAAAATTTGAAGTAAGATTTCTACTGAATATATATCACCTTTGTACCATCGTAAAGTCAAAAAATCGTAAGTTGAGCCATTTTAAGTGAGGGACTATCTGTAGTTCAAAGACTAGCAAGAAATATAATGGAAAATAAATCATTACAAGGTGATATAAGTAATCAGGTGCTAGACAGATATATTGTGGAAACCCAGATGAAAGGGCAAATAACTCATTTTGGAGGGATCAGAGGCATTGCAGAAGTCCCATTAGTTGGTTCCTAAAGTATGAGTTGAGGTTTGTCTGGTGGAAATGAAAGGAAGAGATATTATAGGATGTGCAAAGGCATGAAGATACACATTCCAAGAAGAAGAAATTCATAGTAGCTAGAATAGTTCAAAATAGTTTATATTTTATTCTCTGGAAATAGAAAACTACTGAGGAAATTTAAATAAGGGAGTAGTGCGATCTAAATTCCCCTTCAGGAAAAAAAATCCTTAGTAGCATCAGTAACGATAACTCACCCAAAAGATTGTATATATATTTATGCTCCTGCCATTTATATTTATGTGTGCTTAGCTGCTCTTTCCTTATCTTGTCCTTGGTGTTCTGCTGGACATGTGGTGCTAACCAGTTACTCTCTACCTCCACATTCTTTCAAGTCTCTGTTTTCAGTCTCTACAACTATCAGTGATAAATATTGAAAGAAGCCTGATGAAAAGAACAGAGGGAAGGACGAAAGGATATGAATAATCACCAGATAAAGATCTGGGGAAAAGGAGAGATGCTGCACTAATAAAAATAACAACATAACAGTGAAATGGTCTTGAGTCATAATGTGTGTCAAGATCATTATTTATGCTTCATAGTACTTCACTAAATTTCAAGGTGACTCTGCAATGAACCTCCTGACTTCCATTTTCAGATGAGCTAAGTGAAGTTCAGAAGTGGTTAAGCAACTTAGCTATGATTATAACTAGTAAACAGGACAGAGAGTTTAAAATCAGTCTTGTTAGACTTTAAATCCCATGCTTTTAACAATAATACTGAACGCCAATGATATCACTTACTAAATGTTAACTAGTTGCCAAACTTTGCTAGTTGCTTTTACAGGTAAACATCATTGTCCCCATTTTACAGAAGAGAAAACTGAGGCTTTGGGAGGTTAATTGACTTTCCTAAGTCACACAGCTAGTCACAGGTAGTATTAGAGGTTAAGCCCAGGTTCATTTAGCTATACCCTTTCCACTATATTTTGGTGTGCATATTCCTAATCCCTACTCCTTTTACCCATCTCTATGTTTCCATATTTCACCTTCAATGCTCAACATTACCTCCTCCACAAAATTCTTTCAGGAAAACACTGGTCTATCATTGCATTCTTACTGCAACTAGTTGTATGACATGCATTTAACTTCATCAAGATGGATTTGTATTTGTTCATTTTCTCTTGTTAATGATCTATGTCCCAAATTAGCCAACTCAGGAAAGTGTCCCACAGCAGGTTCTCAGGTAATCTATATCATCCAAATATATCTTACTTTTAACTCAGTTTCAAGGAGGGGGCAAGAATTATGCCATACTGCTTTGTTTTCTCCAATATACCTGATAGATACTTCAGCATATAATAGGGTTTAATAAAAATGTTGACTCTAATATACCTAACAGTAGGAAGATTTCAATAATAATAATAAGAGCTAACTCATATATATGTATAGAAATGTGTGTGTGTGTGTGTGTGTGTGTGTGTGTGTGAAATCCAATGATGTAGGTACTATTGTTATCCCCATTTTGCAGAGGAAACAGGAATAAAAAAGTTAAGTGACTTGTCCAAGTCCACATAGTCTCACTCCAAAGTCAGCATTTCCTTGACTAATTTATAATACTATCTTCACTCAAAAGATGTTGTTCCAAGATTAAACAACTCTCACACCTTAAAAAAATGGTAAAACTTGCCCTTAATTTCTGCTATAAACACTAGAGAAGATACAGAAAGAAGAGTATGTCTGCATAGAGTAGAAAATCTGAGCGGCATATATAAAACTGCTGGGAAAATAAGAAGAAAAAAATCAAGATATATTCCTCTTTTAAAAAAAAATTGGAGTGTGCCAAGTATGCTATTTTTGCACAAGTTTCTGTGATTCATAAAGCATTCAAGCCAACTTCCTCTCACACTAAATTACATAGCATACCTCAGAGTGAGAAACCATTGTTAGCAAAGACACTGAAACTCTACACCAGAATCATGTAAGCCTGAGCTAGCAAAATGCAACCACCTCTGGACTGACACACAACAGCTGTTTAGAGTGTCAGAAAAATGTCCTGATGAAGACACCAGGAAAACTCAG